TCTGGTGTGCTTTGGACACCATGCTGGGGAAAGTCATCAAAGAAAGAGGATCACTGACCCAGTTGCTGCACGATGGACTCAAGCGCAGCAGTGATCTGAGAGGACGTTGCAGGCCTGAGCACGATTCCCTTCTGGGAATCCGGAGGGATGCTGTGAGTCAGGGAAAACTTGTCGGCACCTCGCAGTAGCAACGGCACATGAGCAAGCGCATCCTTTGTTCTAGTGATTGGTAGGCATTATTGAAAGCGATGAGAGGATCAGAGGTGGAGGGATCAGATGGGAGGATAGAGTCAAGTGGAGTAGAACTTGTGGCAGTGGCTTCACCTGCTTCTCAAAATTCCTTAAAAGGCTAACTTCCTGGTGGCTGATCTTTCTGTACGTTGGGTCCAGCTGTCTTCTCTTGATCTACAGTAAACATATTAATGGCTTTTGCTGAGACTCATTCTCGTGCTGGTTAATGTTAGCCCTTTCCAAGAGTTCTCGCTCTCCAATTTGCCCCCACGTGGCTTCTGTCACACACTCTGTTGTGTAGGAGTCATTTGAAGGAGCATTCTGCTCTGTTTTGGATAACTGGTTTCAGTAAGTATCTTGCTTATTCTACCGTGTGGTGTTGTGAACCAATAGACGAGGTAAGATCATTTCCTTTTATAGCCAGAGCAGTGACATTTCCCGTCATTCCATACACCAGGTCAGGCATTCTCCCAGCACCTTCTTGCCTTTATTAACCTGAGCTGGTGGTGGCAGAGAGCTCATTTTCTTGGCTGCTCTTTCTGAATATATAAGACAGCTGCTGCTGGCTAGAATGTAGACTGAGCTTAGAAAATGCGCTGATGGTGTCAGCTCCATAACTTGGCACTGATACTCAAAAATATGGCTATTTTGCAATTATTGACCCCAGTAGATGCAAGAAAAATCTTGGCTCAGAGCTGTGGCTAATCCAGGAACTGTTTACATTTCATATTGCTGTGAAATGTTGTGTGCCTTCCGTCACCTATCATTAAGTGATGTTTATTCTTCCTGTGCTTTCTTCTGATATTCTGCTAGCCATCAAGTGAGAATCTTAGAGAATACGCTTTTTACATGGCCATAGTTAATATCGTTTAGATGGTTATTCTTTCTTAGTCAATAATTTTTTCTTCTCTGAGCCTTTTTGAATAAGCCCTGAATAGTATTTCAAATTTAAACTTTTAGTATCCCTTCAGAGATTTATCAAGCCCCAAATTTAAGCAAAATGTTTGAGGAATACCCCTCTCTCCCCTAGCCCCAGCTTTCTGCACTCATGTTGTAGACTTCTTCAGTAATGACAGAATACCATTGCTTTTTGGGATGTGCAGCTGATTATATACATTCACATCCATCCCTAGGAAGTGATGATTTCTGTGTTTGGAGATTAGTTAAGATTCTAGTTGCAAGTAAAAAGACACAAGGGTACTTCAGGGAACCCAAAAACTAGAATGTCTCTGGGTCTTTGGAAGTGACTAGAAACCAGAATTCACAGTCAAATACCCCAGGGACCAGGAAAGAACTGTCTCCATCTCTTTTCCCCACCCCTCATCTTCTTCCTTTTTTTCTCTCAGCATATCTTCTTTACTTATCAGATATAGACTCATAGAATATCAGAGTATGTCTGCCAGTTATCTCCCAAATATTTTTCTTTTCCCAAATATTTATATATATTTTCCCAATTATTCTATATTTTGTTCTGTTCCAGATTCCTAGAGCTAAGGATCTGGGTTTAGGTCAGATTTCCACCCCGACATCTGTAACATTCTGGGAGAGGGCCTTACAACCATGAGTTATGGAATAGGCATTAAGTTCCTGGCTGGGACTTTTTGTTATGTGGCCTTAGAACTATCTTGAGTTACCAGCCCAGGAAGTTCTGATTAGGCTTATGTAAATGCATTCATTTATTTATGTATTTCTTTTTAGCATATGCCCATTAATTAGACTATTTATTTTGTAGTATTATACATGTTATTAATATATGTGAGTGCTTAGCTGCTTATTTTTCAATTAAAATGGCATTAAAATAGAAGTAAGTACCTTGAAAGATCATCTGTTGTTCAGGAGTTAGTTGTCTGAATCTTTGGAAAGTGGTTGTGTACACCCTTCATAAGGAACCCAGAGAAGGACACTTGACAACCATTCTTAAATGACCTTTTTAAGTGTTATTCCCAAAAAGCAAACCTACTTAATTTTAGGACCTCATATAGCTCTGCCTCCACCCAGCCAAATATACTTAGAAATTTTCTATATGAAACAATATAAAGAAGTTTCATATATTGAAACAATTTTTACTTCTTGATGATGGTCTTCTCTTTAGCCATTTATAGCCTTCATACTTAATAAAGAAAAAACACGTGGGGCCTTTGGAATAAACTCACTCATTGCCATGGAGTCAGTTCTGACTGAAAGCAGATTTCTGAGGCAGTAAATTATACGGGAGGAGACTGCCCGTTGTTCTCCTTTGCATTTTCTGGTGGATTCAACCCACCAAAGATTCTCTCCACATCTGGATTAGCAGCGAAACTCCCTACAGACCACACCACCAAAGCACGTTAGGAATAAAGGTCTGAAAGAAATTTCAACTACTTGAACACAAATAAACATCTCTTCCCTATTTTGAAAGATTTTTGGAGAAGATCCTTCAGCTTTTCCTCCAGTGCCCATTGTGTTTATCCATATTTTATAGACGGGGGGTGGGGGGGGATGGCTAAGTAGTGACCTAAAATCCATTCTGAAACAAAGTGGGTCATAAACAGTGACTGAGCCAGGACCAGAAGCTCTCCTCTATAACTCCCTGCCTGGTATTTTTTCAACACAGCCCCATGGAGAGAAAAGGAATCACATTAGAAAAGCCTTGTCGCAAACCCGAGCTGGGCAAGCTCTTTCTAAGGCATCTGGTGGCCACAGTCTCCATGCAAGGCCCCCATGTAAGAAAACACAGGCCCCCTGCGTAGTCCTTCTGCTTCTCTACATCCTAATTCTTGGCCCTTTTTTCTTCAAATCACCTTATATTTCCCTCAGGTTATCTGTGTGAGAGGAGAGGGGAAAGCCTCACTTATTTATTCTAGCAATAAAAATGTGTTAAGTACCTGCTAGGTGTCAGGTCCATTCTGGCTGTGGCGTCCACCACTACTATTAGATTCAAGTTGACATCACTAGTTGACAGTACTCATTGGTCACATGAAAACTACAGCAAAAAGCAAGTCATCTCCATTTTACCCATAAATCATTATCCTATAAAGTCCGCCGTGTGTCGTGTCATTATCTCAGTTGTAATCTGTTGTGATTACATATGATTACAAACACCTAGTGAGCCAGGTTCTAGGCTCAATACAAGGTACTTCATTCGTCATTTTATTTAGACCTCACAAGAGCTTGGTAAAATTGATTTTTATAAATCCCCTTTCACTGATAAGTAAACTGAGAGTCAAACAAATTTAGGTACTATGTTACATGCTTTATACATTACTGCTCATAACACCCTATAAGAGTCAACTGGACTTACTTTCTTTTTAAGGTGACAACATAGTAAGTCACATTAAGTCACAAGGTCACTATGTGACCTTGCTCAGGCCCCATAGTAAGTGATCATAAATTTATCACATTATGATAAAGCTTGGTAGTGATCTACCCAACATTGTACTTCTAAGATCAGATTAGGTTTTGTCCTTGTATTTTCACCTTATATCCTTGCCCTCATAAGTGGTCAAGGTTGAGGTGCCTCCTGAGACTTTTGTGTCACGACTCGGTGGCAGCGTCCTGCCCACCCACCCATCCTGATGAACTGGCTGGCCACACCCCAGGAGAGCCCTCTGTGGATTCAGTTTTGACCCAGACACTGTGAATTTACAGCTGTATTTATCTTAACTGTGCAAATAAGAAATCTTTCAGCAGCTTCAAATTTGAGCCAGAAGTTAAACCTGAAGTTCAAATGGGTTGTAAGTATTTGTTTTACTTTGGGTTTTGTTTTAATCTACAAAGACAGAGGGGAAAAGGCCAATTGTAGAAAAGACATGGAAAAGATGTACTTCCAAATGGAAAGGCTAACTATAAATACCAGATTGATAGTCATTAACCTTTTTAATACATTGGCATTTCCAAAGCTCTCAGTAAAATACTGTTGTATTTTCTCACTTATTATGGGCTCTTAAACCTTCCAGTAGATCTCTTTCCAAATGGAGCCTCCTTGGTCCCTGATTTCTTTTTTCATTCATTTATTCAACAAATATTTACTAAGTGTTTACTGTGGGCTAAGAACTGTAGATACAACTGTGAAAAAAGACAGACATAAATAATCAATTACAACCAAGATAAATGCTGCCAAGAAAATACAGCATGCTACTAAAATATCAATAATAATGAGAGATAGTTGTAAAGGCAGGGAAAGCTTTCTGGAAGAATTTATATTGAAGCTGAGACCTGAACAAAATGAATAAGAAAAATGAAGAAGGAGAAAGAAACCAAGAGAGGTTTGCTCATCGGCCCAGCAGTACATGTGAAGGGCTGGAGGCAAGAATGCAACTCATCAAACATTAAGAGCTAAAAATGGACTTTGTTGTTATTATTGTGAGACTGAACCCACCATAACTGACCCTCCAGTGGGTTTTTCAGAGGCAGTAAATCAAACAGGAGATGCCCATCTGACTCCGGAGAATTCAAACTGCGTATCTTTGCGTCGGCAGCACTAACCACTAAACCACCAGAGCTCCCCTAAAAGCACTTGGGGTTAGAAAAATACATCCAGAAGCAAAAGAGCCACATGTTGGTATAAGGAGTTTTCTTTTACTTTTCAAAAATTCAAAAATTTACTTAATGATAAAAATCACTTACTTAAAAGACTACTGCTGGCCTATTGTTCTTCTCCTCTGGTGTAAAAAGTACAGTTGTCTCAAACATTTAAGGAAGAGCTGGGGGAGGAGAAGTGAGGAGGTGAGAGAGAGGCTTTGGGAGGGAGGTGTAAGGTGACTCTGACTCTGAGGGTTCTGTCTCCTCAGGCCTGAAGACAATTGTGGGTGCCCTGATTCAGTCTGTGAAGAAGCTGTCGGATGTGATGATCTTGACAGTATTCTGCCTCAGTGTTTTTGCCTTGATCGGACTGCAGCTGTTCATGGGGAACCTGCGGAACAAGTGTGTTGTGTGGCCCATAAACTTCAACGAGAGCTATCTTGAAAATGGCACCAAAGGCTTTGATTGGGAGGAATATATCAACAATAAAAGTAGGTGTCCCTTTTTCTAGAAGACAAAAAAAGAAAATCTCTCTCTTTTTTTGACATGGTCAAAAACTACCAATGAGCTTTAAAGTAGTTGTCCCAGAGAGGAATGCTGTGCTCTTGTAAGAAGCCCTGTGAAGGGACTCTCTTTCCTTCAGGTAGGATTGTTGAGGTAGGATTGTGTTTAGAGGATCTCAAGCATCAACCTTCTCTCTCTTTTCATCTCTTTTGTCCCCCCTTTATAAAAAAAAAAAAAAAAAAAGGAGACTCTGCACATGTACACAATAAGCTTTCTCCTTAAAATGCATGCTTAAAAATTTGATAGAATACTTTTTTTCCTCAGCTGGGTTGCTTGGGATACTTTTAGTCCAGAATATTCCTAATGACACCAAGCTTTCTTAGTACTACCAAGATCTTATTTATTAATCTTGTCCAGGGATCAGGTAATACCTAAGATATAACTTGACTCCATTAGAGTTGAGAAGTTTTTGTAACTTCATTTGAGAACCAAGTACTTGGAAAGCCTTACATAAAGAAGGAGTAGATGTAAATTACAAATTAATAATATAACTGTTAGTCACTGCTGAAGCAGTTAAATAACCACAAGAAAATGTTTCAAGGGGAATTTTAGGTACAGGAAAAGTGAAGCTTGTCTTCTAGTTTAGAATAGGACCCCACAGGATGGCCAGTGAAGACTGCTAGATTATCTCTGAATAAAGAGAATATAGAAGGTTAAAAGGATGAAGTTATATGGAGTGAAGAACTCAGAAAACTCATTTTCAGACACCTTAACTCAAGCTTCAGAGCCTCACATACCAATTTGAAGTACAAAAGTGCAAGTAAATTGTCTGTGAAGGAACTTTCCATGAAGGGATTTAGGGTAACACTAAAATTTTCAATATCCATAGGAAACTCATTAATGAGAAAGGACTCTTACCAGGTTTCACTACTGTCAGAAAAGATTTGTATGAGTTAAAAATCAGTAATTGCGTCTGCTGGGGATGGTTTGGAACAATGTAACCTTATTCTCTCATTCTCTTAAATCTGCTTTATTCAAACTTTTCTAGCCAATTTTTACATAGTTCCTGGCATGCTAGAACCTTTGCTCTGTGGGAACAGTTCTGATGCTGGGTAAGTGGCTCACCTAGTTTTGTTCTCATCCCTTAAGATAATGTGCTTACTATTATTTGTATGAAAATGAGTGTAATTTCCACCTTTCTTTGGATTTTGCTCATGAGTCTTACCTAGTAGTTGACTCTGATCTTTTTGAGTCTTACCTAGTAGTTGACTCTGATCTTTTTTGTTTCATGTTTTTATATGCAAACTTGGCATTTCACTACTTGGTGAATATGCCTATACTTGCAAACAAAAAACCAAATATGTAAAAGGTTAAGGATAGACTCCTTATGTCAGCTGCCCTACCTACCTCACGAACAATCCCCTCATTCCACTTTAACACTGTAAGTATAATAGAGTTAGGACACTCATGGTAGTAGCTTAAAACCCAAGGAAGACCTAATATATGTTACACCTAACAGCATAGGAAGGAAAAGAGTTGTAACACTTATGAGTCCTAATTCTGTCTCTTCCTTTGTCAGGCTGTTAACTTACCTGAATTTCAATTTCTTTATACATAAATGTATAAAATAAGTTATGCTTTCTCTTCCTCACAAAATTAATATTAGCATTCAATTAGATGGCATACATCAGTGTACTCTGTAAATTTTGTTATGTGCCATTGAGTTGGAACCAACTCATAACTGACCCTCCAGTAGGTTTTGAGAGGCAACAGATCACCCAAGAGGAGATAACTTATCTTTCTTCCATGGAGCAACTGGTGAATTTGAACTAACCACCGTTGGATCAGCAGTGCACCTCCTTACCACTAAGCCACGAGAGCACCCTACTAATAGGAAGCTATATAAGTGTAAGAGGGCGGCTGTCATTGTTAGGTGCTCTCGAGTAGTTGAGTAGGACTGACAGCGACCCAGTGAACTACAGATCTGAACCCTCCCCTGTCCTGTGCCATCCTCCTCATCTCTGACATACTTGAGCCCATTGTAGCAGTCACTGTGCCAATCCATCTCACCAACCCTCCACCTTTCCACACTTGATGTCCCAACATGCCCAAAGTATATAAGAGGAAACTTGTCACCTTGGTCCCTGAGGAGCACTCTGATTGCACTTTCTCTAAGATATATGTTTGTTCTTCTGGCAGGCCAGATGTAGGATAGCACAGTCTTGTTCAGAGGATGTTGATCCTTTAAGAATTTGGTGTTTTAAGATAGCAATGGAACCTTAATCTCTCATTCACATAAATCTGCTTTATTCATACTTTTATAGTTTATTTTTACACAATTCCTGGCATGCTAGAACCTTTACGCTGGGAACAGTTCTAACTAAAAGACCACTTAATTTTTTTATTGCCGTTTTCATAGGTGCCATTGAGTTGAGTACGACTCATAGCAACCCTGTGAGCAACAGATCTGAACTCTGTGTTGTCCTGTGCCATCCTCACAATCTGTGACACACTTGAGCCCATTGCCATATGTACTGTGTCAATACACCCTGTTGAGGGTCTTTCTTTCCTTTGCTGTCCCTCCACCTTTCCAAGCATGATGTCCCTCTCCTAGAAATTTCATTGAACTAAATATCAAGTGCTATTCCTCCATTGCATGTGTGTATTATGTTTTGTTAAAAAGTAGAATAATATGACTTAGATCATTGAAATCCCTGGTATGACTGTAACTGTCAGAGTAAGTGTTAAGAGGACAGTCAGAATTAGGAAGATTGTCTGGCTATATATCCTAGAGGATTGAGTTGCACCTTATGAATCTAGGACAATGATTCTTGAACTTTGGCCTGCATAAGACTCATCTGGCATGCCTCTGAAAACTTGGGTTAATAGATTCCATATCCAGAGCTTTGATTCCTAAATATTGGGTAGGACATAGGAATCTACTTAATTAAGGAGTATCCAGTTGATTCTGATTCTAGATTATCCCCAGGATATCATTTTAAAAATAAAATCCTAAAATGTAATATTTCAAGATCAAGACAGTGGAATTATGTTGAAAAGCCCTGAACTTCCTTTTCTCTCTCCAGGCAATGCCCAGAGGGATACCAGTGTATGAAAGCAGGAAGGAACCCCAACTATGGTTACACAAGCTTTGATACATTCAGCTGGGCCTTCTTGGCACTCTTTCGCCTTATGACCCAGGACTATTGGGAAAACTTGTATCAGTTGGTGAGTAATGCCGCTGCCGCTCTTTCTTCTGTGATGGGGTTTGTGTGGTTACATGTGGATTAGGGGACATTCTGTGTGAGAGATTGCTCTACAGATACCTTAGAATGGCAGTTCTCCCACTTCTCTTTATGTTATAGCTCTTTTTAAAATCATATCATTGCAAAATGATATGGAAAGATGTCACTCAAGATGAGGATGTCCTGTGACTTGGACTCGTTGTTGTTATTGTTGTTATGTGCTGTCGAGTCACTTGCAACTCATAGCGACCCTATGTACAACAGACCTAAACCCTGCTCCATCCTGTGCCAATCACACGGCATCCAACACACCCATCCTGATTACCCCAGTCACTGAATAAATACATCTATCTCATCGAGGGTCTTCCCCTCCTGCGCTGTACCTTCACCCTCTCAAGCATGATGTCCCTCTCCAAGGACCGGTCCCTCCTTACAACATGTCCAAAGAATGTCAGATGAAGCCCCAGAATTCTTGCCTCCAAGGAGCAGCCCAGTTTAACCCTCTCCAGGATGAATCTGTTTGTTTTCTTAGCAGTCCATGGTACATTCAATACTCTTCTCTAGCACCACAGCTCAAAGGCATCAATTCTCCTTCTATCCTCCCTAGTCATTGTCCAACTCTCTGATGCATGACAAGTGATTACAAAGACCATGGCCTGTATCAAACGTACCTTAGTCTCCAGAGTGACACCATTGCTCTTCAGTACTTTAAAGAGGTCCCTAACAGCAGACTTTCCCATCATAATACGTCTTTTAATTTCCTGGCTGCTGGTGCCGAGAGTGTTGACTGTGGAGCCAAGCAGGCTGAAGCTGTGTACATTCTCAATCTCTTCACCATCCATCCTGATGCTGCCAATTGGTCCAGTGGTGAGAATCTTTGTCTTCTTGACATTGAGCCTCAATCCATATTGGAGGCTGCAGTCCTTGACCCTCTGCAGCAAGCGCTTCAGGTCCTCTTCAGTTTCAGCAAGCTGTGTCATCTGCATAATGCAGATTGTTGATAGATCTTCCACCAATCCTGACACCACACTTCTCCTCATAGAGCCCAGCCTAAAAATACTATTTGTTGTAGATTAATGACATAATAATTATTGTTGTTGTTGTTGTTTACTATCAACTCAGAACTGACTCATAACTGATCCTCGAGCAGTTTTTCAGAGGCAGTAAATCACACAGGAGGAAAGTGCCCATCTGTTTCCCACAGAACAGCTGGTGGATTTGAACTGAGTGCCTTTGGGTTGGCAGCACAATTCCTTACCACTAGGGCACCAGAGCTACCTAATAACATAATAACCTTAAATTCTAACCTAATTGAGTAAATACTTATGTATCAAAGCATTTGCCAATTTTACTTATATGATCCAGTGACTTCTGTTTGTTCTATTACTCCACTGTTACCACTTTCTGTTTGCAAAGTTTTACTTTTTTTTTTTACCCATCAGTGTTCCCTAAGTAGTGACTGTCCCTTACCTCCTCGCAATAGGAGGAGGTAGGTTATGTATTTTTATATATATATAAATGGAATCATACAGTCTTTGTCCTTTGTGGCTGATCTGTCTCTCAGTTTGATGTTTTTAAAGTTTGTCTCTGTGGTAGCATCTCACAAGACTTCATTTCTCTTTATGCTGATAATATTCCATTATACTGCATATATGTGCCACATTTTGTTTATCTGTTCATTTATTGATGGATATTTGAACTGTTTCTACCTTTGGGCTTTTGTGAACAATATCACAGGGAACTTTGGGGTACATATATTTGTTTATATCCCTACTCTCAATTCTTTTGTGTATCTACGTAGAAATAGAATGGTAGGATCATATGGAAACTAATGTATGTTCAATTTTTTTAGTAACCACCAAACTGTTTTTCCCAGTAGCTGACCATCTTCTAATCCAACCATCAACTGATGGTTTCAATTTCTGTACATCCTTACTAGTGCCTGTTATTTGCTGCTATTTTAATAATAGTCATTGTAAGTGCATATGAAGTGTTGTCTTATTGTGGTTTGGGCTCTGGTGGCCTAGTGGTAAGAAGATGTACTATAATCCCAGAAGCATGAGGTTCAAATCCACCAGATGCTCCATATGAGAAGGATAGGCATTTTCCTCCTGTGAAATTTACTGCCTCTGGAAATTCTCTGGAGGGTCAGCTGTGGGTCAGTTCTGACTCAACAGCACACAGCAAAAACTAATTACATAAAACATTTTTTCATGTGCTTGTTGGTCATTTATATTTGGGGCTTTTTTCATCTATTTTAAAAATTGCTAAAAAAAATTACTATGCTTTAAGTGAAAGTTTACTTTGGACATTTAACTTCAGAACTTTTGAAAGCAAGTAGTTTTCCTTTCAACTGTTCATACAATTTTTGCTTTATGGCATGAATGTGAATTACAATCCCCACATTGTAACAATACTCTTTCTATTTTCTCCCTGTGTTTCTTTTTCCCCTTCATCCTTGTAACAATACTCTTTCTATTTTCTCCCTGTGTTTCTTTTTCCCCTTCATCCTTGTAGACTTTCTCCCTGGGAAAATATGACCCTTATGATGTTGTATGGTTGATTGTTGTAAGGAATGAGTATCTCCTGGGCATTATTATTCATCTTGTAATTATGCCTTTTGTTTGGTTGAAAGTCTTCCCAGAGAGGTGAATGTGGTTCTAAGCTCAAAGGGCCATAAACTCCAGGGTTCCGCCAGTATCTACTAAATGAATGAACCAAATATTTTTTTTTAGTATTTTGAACTTTATTCAACATTTCTCCAGGCCATTTGCTTTTCTTCTTTTATGAAATGTCCATTCAAGTCTTTTGTCCATATTTTATTCTTGACTTGTTTTAGAACAACTGAAGAAGTAAAATATAATTCTTGGCTTGGAGCATTTTTGTTAAAAAGTGAGATTTTTTTTTTCCCTGTGAAAAGAATATAAAGGTAATTTATGGAGATAGGAAAGGACAAAATACATAGGAAATTCTCCTGATATTTGGTGTGAGGTGGAGGGAGGGGAAGCCATTTGTCCACTGGGGATGCTGATTGTTCGTACTATGATTTGTATTTGTACAATGAAGGACTATGTCCTACAATGTGTATTTGTACAGACAGACTACCCTACTCAGAATATTAGTAGTACCTCTACAGAAGAATGAGTACTAGCCTATGAGTTCTTTTCAGCTGGTACAGTGACCTGAAAAATGGTCTTTGTCTTTCCAGACCTTACGAGCAGCTGGCAAAACATACATGATCTTCTTTGTTTTGGTCATCTTTGTGGGTTCTTTCTATCTGGTGAACCTGATCTTGGCTGTGGTGGCCATGGCCTATGAAGAACAGAATCAGGCCACACTGGAAGAGGCAGAACAAAAAGAGGCTGAGTTCAAAGCTATGTTGGAACAGCTTAAGAAGCAACAGGAAGAAGCACAGGTTGGTGATCATTCTTTGAGATAGGACTTCCTGAAAACCATAACTAAACCCCTATCTGATTACTAATCCAAGTGACCTTTTCCATGCACCTTATCAAATAGAGGTTGTTGAAATGATTAAGAGAACCCAAGTAAAAACTACTGTTGGTTAGTTTATATATCTCATTTGTCTTCAAATTATTTAGTTGTATAATCTTTTGTTGACTTTATCAAATATTCAGGATCCAAATATTGTAGTGACTAAGGAAGATAAAAAAGTACCCAAAGGCATTTATATAGGACTTTATTATAAAAGTTTGTTGAGGAAAGAATTAGAATATTCTTCAGAGATTCTGTGATCGTAGTAAGAATTGCTTCTGATTAAAGGACCCAACAAAATATTAAAGTAAAATTTGAAACACAACTTGTGATCCCACCACCCTAAAAATTTACTTTCTCATCATTACTCAAGCACACACATACTTTTTTACATAATACATAATATGACTTCATAGCATTCATTTTCAGAGATGCCAAGAGAGGATTCTTTGATCACAAGAAGGCAGCCAACTTCTTATCTAAGATACTTAAGAGACTAAAACCCAAAGTTCTCACCACCTGGGCCTTACTCTATTCTCTTGAGCTGTGTGCCGAGATCATAATTCAATTAAATTAATTTTGGTCCTGGTGATAATCCTCCTGACCTAGTCACACTTCCTATCTGTGAGGGAGAATAGTTTGTCCTAAATGGTTGGCTTTGAGGTAGCTCCAGCTAATTGTTTCTGATCCGGTCTGCTTGTCTGACTTCTTTTCTAGGCTGCTGCAATGGCCACTTCAGCAGGAACAGTCTCCGAAGATGCCATAGAGGAAGAAGGTGAAGATGGGGTGGGCTCTCCTCGGAGCTCTTCTGAAATTTCCAAACTCAGTTCAAAGAGTGCCAAGGAAAGGCGTAATAGGAGAAAGAAGAGAAAGCAAAAAGAACTTTCAGAAGGAGAAGAGAAAGGGGATCCCGAGAAAGTGTTTAAATCAGAATCAGAAGATGGTATGAAGAGAAAAGGCATTCGGCTGCCAGACAACAGAATAGGGAGGAAATTTTCCATCATGAATCAGGTGAGCTCTTTGCCTTGGGTCAAATAAACGTTAAGAATTATGGATTGTCCACATCCTTCATGATCTTTGAATTCCCTTTTGGCCTGACATTTTTCCAGACCCATCCCTACATTCTCAGCCCTACCTGTGCACACTTTATATTATTTCCCGTTAAGAGGCAACATCACTGAGATTCAACAGTAAAGCACCATGTTCTAAAACACCAGAAAGAACTTTTCACTTAGCATCAGAAAAGCAGAATTTAGCTCAAACATTTCTGTTTAAGAAATGCATGTAATTATATAATAAAAGGGGCCAGGAGGAAGGGAGCCATGAAATTCTTTGTTGTTGTTAGGTGCCGTCATGTTGACACATAGTGACCCAGTGAACAATAGATCTGAACCATATGCTCTCCAGTGCCATTTTCACACTTATTCACACTCTAGAGCCTATCGTGGCAGTAATTGTATCAGTTCTTCTGGTTGAGGGTCTCCCTATCCTTTGCTAATGTTCCACCTTTCTTAGCATGATGTCCCTCTCCAAGGAATAACCTCTCTGAGCAACATTCTACTTGGAAGAAGGAGTGGCATCCACTTCCAAAACGGCTTGCCTCTGGAAACTCTATGAACAACGCTCAGGCCTTTCGTTCATAGGGTCGCTAGGAGCTGTCTATGACTGGATGGCACCTAACAACAATAACAACAGCAACACAGAGGGAGAGCTACGTTGGTCTAGTGGGCAGAAAGTTATGCTACCAAGCCCAAGGTGGGTGATTTTAACCTGCAGCACTCAGGTCTGGTTCACATTGTTTTTCTGTCAAACATTCTTCTAGGTGGGATAGCATTGGTCTGTGCATTGCTGTACAGAGGTAACTCATGATTTCTTTGATGCTAAATACTGTGACACTGATGTGCCAAATGTGATAATGGTTATCCATGGTGGACAGTATTGGGTGGAGCTCCCCGATTAAAACAAGCTTGGAAGCAGGAGTGGCATCCACTTACGAAATGGCTTGCCTCTGGAAACTCTATGTATGAACAGTTCTCAGGCCTTTCGTTCATAGGGTTGCTATGAGTTGTCTACGACTTGATGGCACCTAACAACAACAGCAACATTCTCTAAGTATGTGAGACAGAGCTTTATTGTCTTTGTCTCCAGGGAGCACTCTGGCTGCACTTTATCCAAGACATATCTGTTTGAAACTCTTTAGATAACCATATTTGAGCACAACAGATGCTAGGATTCTAGCTATACAGTGCTATGCTGAAAAATTAGTCTATCACTCACTCAGTCATTACCATCAAGGTGGAACCAGTGATGCATGGCTGACCCTCTAGCATGTGTCCAAGGCTGTAAATTGCATGGGAGGGAGGAGACTGGCCATCATCTTCGGGTTAGCAGCCCACCTCACTATGGACTCAGAGCCCTTTGAAAGTCTTATTCTCACCCAATTTTGAGAAATGGGAACTCTAAGAGAAAGAGAAGGAAGAGGACTTGTTTGATTATTTTATCACCATAATTATCCTCTAATAGTAAGAATTCTTAAATTTTAAAAAATGCTATCAAAATCCCATTCTTAAACCATTTAATTTCTCATTTTAAAGAAATGCCAACAAGATTATAGATTTGGTTGTAGGTTATAGTTACTATTTATGTTAGTATATCCAGTATCTTTTCTTGTCTCCCAAAAATGACTCTCTACATCTTCCTTTTGTCTCTTACCTACCAGTTAAGTCTTTTGCCCGTCCTGCTCATTTGACCATAGCAATAGGTTTCGTGTCCATCCCCTTCTTCCTATTCCTAGTAAACAGGCTTCTATATTATTTTGTTATAGTACAGTTGTCTGTTGGAGTTTCATTACTTCTAGTCTTTCTTCTTCTCCTTTATATTTTATGTACAACTGGAAGGTATTTTTTTAAATACAGCTCTCAATATTCATTTATCAAATATTTACAGAGTGCTTATCATTCATTGTGCTACAAACAAAAGGCCGTCTGTTTCCTGTGCTCACTGTGTTCCCCCTAATAAAGTTTACAGCCTCAGAAATTCAATAGAAAGGGCATTATGAGTTGAAGCACACTCAAGGGCAGTGAGAGTATGAGAACCATATGCTAAGGATTGTACTAGAGCCCAGAAACCCAAAGGTTGTTAAAACACATTGCAGGAGAGCAAGACCCTCGATGAGATGAATCGACTCAGTGACTGGGATAATAGGGGAGGAGTATCAGAGACAGTAAGATTGGCTCAAGATGAAGCAGGTTCAGAACTGTTGTACGTTGAGTCGCTATGAGTTGCAAAAGACTCGATGGCACATAACAACAACAACCACCTAGAAAATTTTCTCACCATCAAAACTATTGTTTTATAATAGAGATCTGCTGGGAGATATTTTAAAAGGTGCACATCCTTCCCAGCCTACAGTTTTAGTGAAGATTTTCTGTGGAAGGTAAATTTCTGAACTAAAGTATGAACAGGAATTAGTGATATAACGTGGGAGTACATCAGTGTAGGAGCAGTCAAGCGGAGAGAGGAAAGGGCCATTCCAGACTTGGAAAAAAGTACCTTTCAATTTGGCCATCATAAGAAGTCTGAATTATTTGTTAGATTAACCTGGTAGCTCTTTTAGGCACATGGATAGTCGGATGATAGTTCAGGGAGAGTCATGAGCTTTAAGAAGGGTGTTGAAACCTTGAGATTTTATGAGAATCAATCAAGGAGAATGTGTCAGGTGAAAGCTCAGTAGACCAGAGTGCTAACCTTTGGTGGTCTTGGGTACAGAGACATAGCTCAGAAAGAAAACAATTCAACAATCATAGAGCTGCTGAGAGAACCAAGAGAGGTAAATGAAGCAGGAGGAGGAAATGGAGTGATCAATATATTAAAATTTAACAGAGATGCTTGATGAGACTAGAATTGGAAATGTACATGGGATTTGACAATATAGAACTCATTGATGACTTTAGGAGAAACCTTTCAGACTGAGGTGAGAATTGACGCCATATGTCTGAGGTATAGAGACAATAAAGGCAACCTCTCATTAAAGCTTTTTTTAGAGAGCATAGGTAAAAATATAGGGAGCTCAGGTAGCCTATTGGGTAGAGATTTGCTGTGCTAACCCAAAAATGCATACTTTGGATCTGCTGCCTGCTCTGTAGAAGAAAGATGGCCAATCTCCTTAGAAACAGTCTCTGAAAATCCACTGTAAGTCAGTTCTGACCCCACAGCAGTGACACAGAGATAAAAATAAGCATTTTATAACCTTTTGGGAAAGCAGCCAAAACAGAGAGAGTGGGGACAGAAAGTTAAATTAGAAATGGAATGAAATCTTGGCTGATTTGAAAATAGATGTAAATAGGTGTAGTCTCTAACAAGAGGTTACACCTTGTCCCCTGAAACCACCAAAAAATAGGTAAGGGTAGGAGTGGTTAGGTTTGTAGATAGGGAATGGGAAGTTGGGAAGGTAACACCGGTTATTGTTGTTGAGTACCATTGAATTGGAACCAACCCATAGCTAACCCTCCAGAGGGTTTTCAGAGGCTGTTAATTGCACAGAAAAAGATTGCTAATCCTTCTCCCATGGAGCAGCTGGTAGATTCAAACCGTGTGCTTTTGGGATTCTTAACACTAGGCTACCGGAGCTCCCTAGTAACACCTGGTAAGTGTGTGTGTGTGTGTGTGTGTGTGTGTGTGTGTGTGTGTGTAATTAGGCATCAACTTAATGGCATCATGAGATATTAACGATTTAAGGATTTGACAGCTGGTGGTGGTGACTAATAGTTGGTGCAAGGTGTCATAAAGGCACAGTTTCCAGTGTAGGAAACAGTCCCAGTCATTGACTAAGTAAAACTGCAAACCACACATTCTGCCATTGAGTTGATTCTGACTCACGGTGACCTTGAAGGACAGAGGGTGCTACCCATCAGTGGTTTACAAGGCTGCAAATCTTTATCCATTCATTTTTTTCCTATTTTTTTAGAAAATTCAGAATTTCATTTTGTTACTATGGATTTAGAACATTCTTCTAAATTGTGCAGTGCTCCTCTGGCAATTTACTGCACTGAGGTAATCTGGGTTTGCTGTGATGCTGAACCTTGTGCCATAGGGAAGTCAAATGCCATAATGGCTGCCCATGGTGGACAGTGTTTGAAGGAGCTCCCAGTTTTAAGACAGGTTTGGAAGCAGTAATGGTATCCACTTCCTAAGCCACATACCTCTGGAAACTCTAATGAACTTAGAGAAACGATGACAGCTACAAAAAGGTTCAGGGCTTTTGTTCATAGGGTCACTAGGAGTCATGCTCGACTCAATGGCAATCAACAACAACAACAATATGGATTAACATCTAGGGTAAACTTTGGGATTATTATATATTTTTCCCTTTTTCTCCTCTTTTTTCAATTGGGCATATAGTCATTTATATATATTATATTGGGGATCACTGGTAGTCTAGTGGCAAAGAAGCTGCACTGCAGTCTTGAAGGCACGCTTTTCAAATCCACTAGCTGCTCCCCAGGAGAGGGATGGGCAATCTCCCATGGGAATAACTGCCTCTGAAAACCCATTAGCGTGTCAGCTATGGGTCAATTCTAACTCTAGGGTACACAACAACAACAACACATTGTATATAATTACTTTTTTATCTATCCCTGTTGTCACCCCCACTTTTCAAGTCCCCATTGACTCCTTCCTCTTCCTGCACCACCACACACTTCTGTTATCCGAGTGATTCCTCCCTTCTCCTTTTCTGTCCCCTCTTTTCTCCTTCCCCCTTTGAACATTTATACATAGCTTTCAACTGCATAAGAAATTAGAAACCTCATTGAAGGAAAAAAGAGGTTGTGTAAGGGATTTAAATAAAATGTTGAAGATGTGGAATAGTTACTAAGAAGAATATGGGAGGAAATTCCCTTAATCAGGTTTACTATTTAGTTGTTATTTAAAATATAACAGAGCAAATCATATGTCACTTTAACAATTTCTACATGTATAATTGGCACTGATTACATTCTTGAAATTGTGCT